AAAAAAAAGTCTGTAGAAATGGGAACAGCAGTTAGCATAATGGCTATGTAGCTGGACTCCCACATAGTAGACCACAGTTTGAGTCTCGGACCCGGTGGCTTAAAAGTCATGCTGGGCACGTGTGCGTGCGTGCCCAAGATCCTGAGAGGAGAAAGGAGGAGAGGGATTGTGGCATGGCCATCCACCCTGGAGGGTGATTTCTCACTTTCTGTCTCTCTGTCTCTGTTTGGCGAGTGCATGCGACCTATAGTAAAAACCTCTAAAAAAAAAAAGTCTGTGGAAATACGGAATTAAAGCATGAGTTTAAAAAAAAGCATGAGTTTATTTTGGTGCAAAAAACTTTCAAAATTCATACCGAGTTTCTTTTCATAATACACATTTTCCGTAAACTTTTTGAAGACTGCCCCCTCCAACCCTCCCTGAACGTATTTCTCTTGTATAAAAGTAGAACTGGTGAAATAAATGAGGTGGGGTTTTGAAATTGAGAGTTTCTCTAACTTGTAACCACTGCTCTTGGAAATGGTTATTGGAAATTTACCATTCTGGGATCTCGTTCTAAATACAAAGCTATATTAAAATTTCTCTTCACCAATTGTAAAATGAAAAACCGTATCTATAATATATTACTTACTTCCTTGCTTGGCTGCAATTATAACATTCATTGATGATCCTGAATTAACATTTTATATTGTATTATATTCAATAAAGTTTTAGCTTCCAGTATTACTGACATGGAAAGCAAGCTAATTACCTGCAAAAAAAAGGATGAGATTTTGGCCCTTTCTCCCCCTTCATCCCCCCCACCCTTTGTAAGAAAAGATAAAGTGAATGTGGTTTAATTCCTTAAGATGAAGAGGAACTAAAGGCCAAGATAGACGCAAATGTGTAATCTTGAGCAGGCCACTTAGGCTCAGCTATAAGGTGAGGGCCAGAGATAAGAGGAATTAATTATCAAAGTAAAAGCATAAGAGTTAAGTTATATTATTAGAATTTGTATGTTTATAAATTCCATACACACACACACATACACACACACACGTGCACGTGTGCATTTCCTAAAAAGTTAGTATCTAGCTCAGTTGGTAACTGTACTTTTCTTTGTTTATTGGGAGTGGTTCATTTCATCCATATGACTCTCCACTCATGACTGTCCTCTAAACATTTCTTAATAGTCAATATTATTTTCTTTTCTAAAATTTAAAGAGAACAAACAGTGTACTTATGAATCTAAAAGTGTAAGAGTCAAGCAGTCTCTTTTCTTTCAAGCAATGTCTACCTGGAAGCTACACAGCGCTGGGGAATAAAATCGAACTACAATGCTCACTTACCACTAGAGGGAGCCTGCTCTCTTTCTGAGGAAATCCTGACATGGCAATACAAAAATTCAGAACTGGTATTATAGAATACGGCAAAATCAATATTACCAGTTTATTTATTAAAACCCAAGTTATTTTTCATAGTTTTCAACATCTTTACTACTGCAAACATATTGTAAAGTAAAACTATATAGGCGTATAGGATGATCTTATGAATAGTCTCCTACTATGAAACTCAGTATAAGAAGCTCTTGCCTTCTAAGTAGTTCAGAACTTTTGTGAGATGAAACGTCTAAGCAGTGATGATAAACAGAAAGATATTTACATACCTAGACTCTATCATATGAATAATGGGCTAGGGTTATGGTCATAGAAGGAGTCACAGCAAAATCAACTTGGAATTTCTCTGAGAGTGAGACACCATGGGGTCCAACAAGTGGTGTGGAGGTTGAGGCGCTGGACTTCCAGATGGCTGACCATGGTTCGAGTCCCAGACCTGGTAGTTCACTTTCTCACTTTTCCTGTCTGTCTCTCACTGGTGTGCACTCATGCCTTGTAACAAACTAAAAATAATGATGATGACTATAAATAAAATTAAATAGATAATTCTTTAAAAAAATGATAAAAGGAAAATGAAGACAAATAAAGATGAAGTTACATAGGGCTATACAAGTGGTACATGGCAAAGCTGGATTTTCCCTCAAGAAGTCTTATTCCAAATTAATTTTTAAAGGTAAAGTGCTTCCCCCTGCTCCCCTATCTCTCTGGTCAAATACACACACACACACACACACACACACACACACACACATATATATATATAATGAAATATTTCTGAGAAAAAAAGAAAAAAGACACGATGACCTGCTGAATGGTGGTCTTCATGATATCAAGGTGCTCACCAGGTGGCTTTCTGAGACCCACTCAGGCCTAGGGTTTCAAGGTTTTTCCAACATTCAAGAGAAAAGGAGATGGGGAACACGATGAACTTCTTCAACATTTAGTCATAAAGGCAATTAGGATACTTCATTAGGCCTGCAAACTTCCAACTGGAAATTCCCTAGTGTACAACCCATCTGAATTTGACATGATGTATTTTAAGATTCTGAATGTTAACTAGATTAAGACCCTGTTTTTACTTAGGCTCAAACGACAACAGCATAAAATCGTTCCTGTAGTCTGTAGTTGCATGTAAATTCCTTTCTGATTTTCTAGAGACACATGATCCATTTTATATTTATTTATTTATTTATTTACTTTAAAGAATTATTTTATTTAACTTTATTTATTTATTTAAATTTGACCAGAGAGGGGCAGAATGGGAGAGAGAGAAGGAAATGGAGAGAGAGAGAAGGAAAGTGAGTAAGCAGGCTGCTAGGTCTGGGACTCGAACTGTGGCTGGCCATGTGCAAGTTCAGCGCCCTTAACCACTACACCACCTGCTGGTCCCAGATGATGCATTTTAGATTACTGTGGGAAGATACCCACATTACACATGGAAGTTTTTTAAAAGACACAGTTGCATCTTAATTATTCTTCAAAGAGAAAAAAAGCTGAAATGGGTCTTTGGGGGCATAAAGAAGTTGCAATATTTTCTTTGCAGAAAACATTTTCTTTGAGTTCAGTAGGCCACTTAGCCATACTTGTAAAGTATGTTTTGTTCTGTAATATTTAAAGTTCTACCAAAACCAGGTATAATACTGTTACAAATAATTAAAGGTAACAAACATATCTGATTATTTCTAACTTCACAGAAGTCCAATGAAAGTGATAGACAGGCAAAATAAATAAGCTGAAACACAAAATCGTGAATTTCAATTTACTGTGTTAGTCAACTATTTAATTTTGAAAAGGTCTTCTGTACAAGACTTAAAGTCTTCCTTAGAAGAAAAAAAAAAACTTTTGTGGAAACTATTTGGAATTATGGCTGAACTCTGCCTGCCCAAATGTTTGACAGCCAATCGTGAAATTAAGTGCATGGAACTGGCAGAGATAGCTTCGGTAGATTGAAGGAAAACAAATTACTTCTTGATTTCTACCCTAGAGGACTTGTCCAGAACTTTGAAAATTTAGACTCAGATTTTTTTCCCTTTGTTTACAGAAAGCAGAGCACAGCTAATGACAGTGGCTCCAAGGTAACCAGTCATTCAGATTAAGTCATGTTTTTAACCAAGGACAAGAATAAAAGTCACAGATCTATGGTTAAGATTTCAAATGACCACATGTCATAATACTGTGCGCTCTGTCTGAAGGCAAAAGCTTCAAAGCCATGGTCATCAGTTGTTCTGGGGACAGGCTGTCTTAAGTCAAGACAGTAAGAATATTGGCCACTGAGGACTGGTTAAGTCCCTATTTTCATGAAATTTAAGATGAGATACACCAGGGAACAGAAGTATAGGCAATCTTTTAGAGCTGTCGTACTTTAGCGAAACAGTGAAACTTAAAAAGAGGAGAAATATTAATATAGATTTTTACAATTTTCACCATCATCTGTTTCCTTTCCCAAAAGTCAGGATGAGAATCAGGCACTTACTATTTTAGTGATCTTGCTGGACAGACTGAGGACTACAGAGCAGAACCCTTTTCCTGTCAGGTAGGGGCTGGGGGCGAATGTGCCGTTTATCCCTGCTTCCCTGTCCACCTTATCCCCACAAGCTGGCTCAGTGGGCTGTGGCACTAGTGAGCTGGTTAAGAACGGGGTAGAGCAGAGTTCACAGGCCTCTGAGACGTTCAGCCTTGGAAAGCCAGAGTAGGAGCATCTGTCTCTCTGCGCCTGCATGCCTGTTCTGCTTAGGTGCTTTTACAGAAAGGGCACCTCTCATCAAAACAATATGGACCCCAAAAAGATGAGGTTCGTAAGTCAGATCTAGGTTCGAACCCTGGCTCTACCATTCACTAGTCTATGAATTCAGTTATTTAAACACTTTGGCCTCAGTTTCCTCACCTGTAAAATGTGAAGAATGATGTCTACTTTGCCTGGAAGTTGTATGCATTATATGGCATATAATAAGCATTCAGGGCATTTTAATATTCTCTGGTTTCTGTTATTCTGTTGATAAATCAAGTCAGGTTTGTCATTTAGAATGACAAAAAGACAATACATGAAAAGAAACACAGCCCAGAATACTGCTGAGACACTGTTGTTTTGCAGGCCAAGTCTACAGGGGAGGCCTGGGTTCAGTTCCCAGCCTACCCTAAAGGCAGGCATAGTGGCACATAACCGTGATCCCAGCTACAGCACTCGGGAGGCTGAGGTAGGAGGATCGTGACACA